TATATATATATATAATTTCAGATTCCTTAAACTATGTATTTACAATTATTTATGTAAAACAAGCCTGTTAAAATGAATGGTGAATGGTCATCAGTCTAATTATAGTTTTCTTTAGTCTCTGCAAGCAAGTGCATCTAATGAATTTAAATATGTATTTACAGAGAGGATCTGTGGGACAGTGATTCTTTAGATTCAGCATCTGACCTTCTAGAAATACTGAATAAGAAACATTTATCTCGGGGAGGAAAAGTTGCCCATGGAAAAAATTGTAAGATGAAGAAAACCATCGAAGAGGTATGTCGATTAAAAATATGTATATTAGAATTCATGATTGTTCATGATACACATAAAAATCTACTTATTTTCATTTTCCTTAATTTCTATTTCTTGTCTTAAAAGTGTAATTCTCCCTTTTAATGTGCCAGATAGTGCAAAACGGTTTGTAATATTTTTTTAAATAAATACTTATACCATAAGTTATATCAATATATACATTACTATACTCCTTTTCATAAAAAATGGCTCTCACATCATTACTTATATGTAATGAATACTTAGTACTAATTTTCGATACAAAAAAGAGTAATATGTATAATGTACTTTAAGTGTATATGCTCCATCAAAACCTTTTGGGCCTCTAATACTTAGCATTATTCTGTATTGAAATTGTATAGAATAGTGTTCGTCAAAATATAAGTATTTTTAACTCCTGCTATTTGCCGTTGCTTTACACCAGAAATGTTCATTTCATCATGTATTATAAACTTTTGTACATACTCTAAATGTTTTCACTAATACCAGATTTTCTTTATAAATTCCCAGTATGAGAAAGAAATAGAAAACTTAAAACATCTGATAACTGAGCTACAAAGCAAGCTGAATCAAGCAGAAAAAAAGCTTTTTCGTCGAGAGTTCAATACAGAGCAGGTTATGGCAAACTGGCATGCTAAGTTGGAAGCTGGTGAAGAACGTCTGAAGAAACAACAAGAAGAAAAAGATCAGCAAATGAAAAATATTATTACCAGGTAGATATACCCTTCATATTGCTGGCTTTTCTACAGTTGTGAATGACACATTGTTTCAATGTGAACCAGAAAATAATTAGAAAAACTTATGTAAGGCATTTGAGTGTGAGAGCTTTTCTGTGAATTATAAATAAACTATAAGTAAAAATAAAAGCTAATTCAAAACTTATACATCAAATAAACACTACAATAGAAAAACCGAACAAACAGAAACGAATAAAAATGATGAAGTTTCAAAACAGGGCATTTAAAAACTTGTGACCATAAATATCTTAAAGTTTTTGGCATTTGTAGTAATAATGATTATTTTTTATTTATCAATCACAAAGCAATAAGTTATTTGATTTGTAAGTGCTGTTGTCAGTATTATTTTCAATGATCAAGTGAAAAACATTTTATTTTTATCATTTGCTTTCATACCATTTAGGTATTTAAAAACTTTAAGCTTGTATGTTAATTGTATTCATTATAAGATGAAAGAAAACAGAATTTTTTTTAAACATCGGTGCTCCATATCTAACACTTGTTCTACACAAAAACATGTGTTCTATGTTTTCTAAAATCTATATTTGCTGTATAATATCATGATTTTATGTGTCATAATAAGGATGTTTATAAATAATAGGTTGATTACTGTGGAGGATGAGTTGCGACGTGAACAGCAAGAGATGCAGGGATTGATTGTCGTCAAGCAGAAGGTAATTGAAGCACAAGAAAGAAAGATCCATTCACTAGACTCTGCTAATGTGAGGCTTGTGAAAGCTCTGAGTCAGTTAAAGGAACGCTACAAACTTCTGGGACAAAATGGATTAAGAAACTCACCTCCACTACAAGTACCTCTCCTGGAAAATGGAGAACTTCCTTACAAGAGTAGTTCTTGCTAATTTATCTAAAGACTCTGTTGTCAGCCCACCAAGGTGACGTGTACCTCCAGGCCTGCTGCTAACAGTATCAGCCAGTGCAATTTTTTTGTGTTTGTATTAGAATAAATGCCCCCCAGTGGTACAGCAGTATGTCTGCGGACTTACAATGTTAGAAACCGGGTTTCGATACCCGTAGTGGGCAGAGCACAGATAGCCCTTGTGTAGCTTTGTGCATAATTAAAAACAAGCAAATGAGAATAAATCATTACTTTTTAGTTGTGTGGTTGGTCATTCTGGCAGTTATAAAAAAAGAAAACATGAATGAAGTGATTTCCTCAAAAGAAAAAAATTCTAAATTTTACTCTTTAGGAAATGATTACTTTATTATTATTTTACTTTTGGATTGGATGAGCATTTCTCTTTATATTTAG